TTTGAGATTATATTTTTCGTATATCTTTGACATAGCAACATATAGCTGGCCATGTGAGAAGACAAGCTTCAGAAGATACAATCCTATATGTAATAATGGTTGGCTCTGAGCTTTGTTAATAGTTAAAGCAAATGCAAATCTTACAGAAAACTGTTTTCTTTTTAAAACAAAAAGCAGCTTTGCATTTTTAAATATTAATAAAGGAATTCTAAGAATGAAAACACATTTTCCTGATGGTTGCTATTGTTATTTCAGCTTCAATTATTTGTTCTAATAATTGGCAACATATTAGTCTTATCCTATTACAGAGTTCATTAATCAGGTCAAGGTTTCTAAACAACATAATTGGTATGCCAACTTTTAGTATAAGTTCATATAAAAGAAGACCTTGTGGTGTTAAAGAATTAAGATATTTGATAGAACATAGGTTTTGATTGTCTTTTGGTACTAAATCAAAGCTATAATACATTTACTGCTTCTAGGATACTTGGTTACTATTTGATCATTTAGCTCATCAACATTATTGTTTAATGGAGTGAATATTGCTCTCTCAGTTATGAATAAGCTATCTGCGGTATTATTTGCTAGATTTAAATAAATAGCATTTGTTAAAAAGTTAATAGAATTGTCATTGCTTCGAGGTTGAATAATAATTTCATCTGGAAGACAAATTAAATTATTTTCAATCATTGGTTCTGTACCATTACCAATTTTAAGTAAATATACAGCAAATGTTTTTGCTTCAATAGATATAGCCTAAGCAATATACAAGTTAGCAGATAAAAAGAAAACTCAATTATGAATATATTGCCACAGGTGAGATTTATTAAGTGCAGCTTTAATGATTTGAGCTTTAGAGCCTCTATGAACTACTGCTAAAATCTGTCAAAAGTCATCTCTAAACAAAATTACTTTATTACTAAATAGAAGGTTTCTATCTATAATATTCTTTAAAATTCTATCTATTATCTCAGAAGCATTATGATTTATTATTGAAGCTTCATCCCAAATAATTAAAACTGCTCTTTGAAGTAATTTTGCTAAGTTGCTACCTTGATCAATGTTACTAATTAAATTATTATTTAATATTGCAATTGGAATTTTACATTGAGAATATGCAGTACGTCCTTTGCGTAATAATAATACAGCAATCTTTAGAGAGGCTACTGCTAATACTACTCAATTACTGATATATATATAAGTAAGGATATAATTATAAAAATAGGTCTTTCTACTTCTAGCTGATCTATCAACAAATAGTACACTGCCATTATCTTGATTTATTAGCCTAAGTGTTTTGTTGAATACTGCGCATTGTTTATTATTTAGTATATTTATCTTTGCAAGATTATTGGAAGTAATATTATAAGACAATTCTTCTAATACTGTAATAGCATTATTAGCAATTCTTTAACAATAGTTTCTGATAATAATTCTGATAAATCATAGTTGGCAATAGTTTTTGAATGCATTTGCAATAATGTGTTTAAGCTTTGAAGTATTGTCTGGATTTGGAGTTGATCAGTTGGAATCTCTTTATGTATAAAGTCTTTAGCCATTGCATCAAAGTTTTCATCCTATAATTTTTGCATGTCTGCAACATCACTGAAAATTAATAGTGTTGCAAAAAGAGCATATAGTTGACTGGGCATCTGAAATTCTTTTGCTTCAACCATACATTATTAAAGATCATTATTATTTTTAAGAAAACTTTTATATTGAACACCTTCTTTGAAAGTTGTACATACATGCCTATTTACTATTTTAAGCTCATCAAAGCTTAACTTTGGTCAACAGCAATCACAGATAATATCATTTATCTAGATAGCATATTAGCTTAATACAGATATTCTAAAACTTTTTTTATCATTACTATTAATTAGTTTTTACTGTTTTTTGACAAATAATTTTTAAATTCTTATTTACATAACAATTATTTGCCTTACACTTTCTATATAGTTATTTACTCAAAACACTTTTGCAAAAATTGTCTTTTCAATACTATACTCATATACTAAATATATGACACTATTAGTACAATATATAATGAAAAGTAACTTTGGTAATGATCTAGTTGTAAGGAAAATATACTAGATAATTGTTAGATAAATGAAGAATTGAACTTATTTATTTAAAAACTAATATATATTTTTCTAATAAATTTTAATTAAACAGTAAATTTGAATAATATTACTTACCTTCACTTGGATGTATTATATAAATTTTCTCAATGCATCCTCTACACTTATATTTTTTTATTTTTATTTGCTTTGTTCTAAGTATAGTAGAACGAAAATTCAGCATAAAGCAAGTTTTTAGCATTTGAATCCTCCGCATTCATTTTAAAGTACTTAGTAAGTGTTGTACATTGTGCTTAATCTGCTGAAATTACTTTGCTCAAATTGCTATTTTTATTAACTATAATTTTTTGGTGATCTTTTAAGATGAACTTGCAAATGTATAACTGCTGAACTTATTCCATTTATTTTAAAACCCAGAATTCTCCAAATTGCTTTAGGCACTAAGACCCAATATGTATCTACAAAATTTCAAATCTTATCAACTTGAACTTGCTAATTTGGTGCCTCATACTCCTGCTAATTCTTAGTAACTTCAAGTATTGTCCTGTTGTGATTTTTGTAAATATATTTAAATAAATATTTGATTGCTTTGATGCTAACACATATTTCTATATTGATATAGCAATTGTATTTTGCACTAAAAAAATTATTATAAGAAACAACCCATCGATTATCTAATATGACAGTATGATTTCCTACTTTTATACTAACTTGACGGCCATCTGAATGACAATAATATATAGGATAGAAGCTATCACTCTAAAGTGTTTCATTTTGAAATTGTTTTGGATAGCCTTTTAAGTATCACTTATAACCTGTACTATCATCGATCATATATAACATATTGATATTAAATTCTCTACATGGCCTATAAAACATATTTTTATAAACTAAAGTATATGCATTTAGATTAATTGATAAATCAGGTATTTCAGCACTAACAATGTTTTATAGTTATTAGAAGTTTGCAGCTTGTCTTTAGGATAGAATATAACCAAAATATATATATAAGAGAGCTTCTGCTTTTGAAATTCTATCACATAAATGTGTATAATAACACATCTAAGTATACTATACTCAAAGAGATCAATCTTAAATTCTTGAAGCTTTTTTCTAAAAATATGTTAATATCATTAACAACTTTACACTAATTCTTTAGCTATAAAAAAGCTTTATTACAAAAAATCTCAAAATATAATATATTAACATTAATTTAAAGTTTAAAATATATTTTGCTAATAAAAAACTTTTACTAAAATAAATGTAATTTTGGTAGAATGCAAAAAATGCATAGTAATTTTGCATCTTTTAAAGTCTAAATATTATATTTCACTATAAAGGCAATTTGTCTAAATAAAATCCTTCAAATTTATTCAAAACTCTATTATATACGTTTACAGAAAACTACATATATTTTAAAAGTTCCCTTATAACTAATATTAAGCTGCAATATAATAGTACCAAAAATTATGAATGAGAACTTACTCATAATATCTGGTTGATTCTGAGCTATTTGTCTAGATAATAGTAATGCTTGAATTTCTGGCCAATGTGAATTACATGTTATTGTAACAAACAAATCAGGTTTACCAACTTTTAACAAAGTCATTGCATTCTAATATCTCTATATCATGTCATAGAGACCTTCAATAAATGTAGATAGAAGAATTACTCTCCTGCCAATATATCTTGAATTGTTATTACCACACAAAACTGCATTCTGAAGAGCTTTATATAAATCTGCTCTAATCTTATCTTGATTTTGTTAGTGAAAATTTAATGATTTGACTTAATTTTTATATATATATCAATGATGAATTGCTGCAAAGATGTCCAGCTTTTAAAAGCAAGTTGTTGAACTGTGGTTGAATTTGAAGTTTATATATATAGAACTTCATTGTATTCATAAACTTTTTGCATCATTTTTTGCTAGTATTTTATTTTTTTTATCTTTACTGTTATTATCTGAACTTTCATTACTATTTTTGAATACTAAATTATTTTCAATTTTATTATTAGATCTGTTAGTAAAATTAGCTACTTTAGTTAGCAAAGGAATGTATTTATATAGAATTTGACATGAAGCTCATCCTTGTTTACTATAGAGAAACAGAATAGGATATGCTAAAGGATTGTAACAGCTATTAAACTCAGAAATGTAAACCACTGATTTATAGATATATGCAGAACAATGGCACACTTTTGAATTGCATTAGAAGATATTTCACTATCAACCCAAATTGCAGCTATCTGTAAAGCTATTGGGGTATTATGCATTCTGTAATCAAACCCAGAAATATCAGCATGAATAAGCATTGATAAATTTCTAATATTTTTAGCAAATAAACTAAAAATTGGTAATATAAGGATTTATTTCATCAAGCATTTCCTTTATATCTTGGATAACTACAGTATTAAGTTTAGAATTAGGAATAGCATTTGTTCTGTGTTGTAATTTGTATTGAGTATTGCAGATATACATCTGTAAATAGCTAGGTTCAATGCCAGCATTGGGTAGTAGTGCACCAATTCTATAATAAAAGAATTCTTAAATATGAAAAGTATAGACACCATTTTTTGAATTTGCAAGTTTACAATCAAATTTAGCACCAGTAAATATAAAAGTAAAAGCTAGATTATAAAGATGAATTTTATATCAAAAATTTTTGGCAATCTCTGTTTGACTAAAAAGAAGATAATTTAATAATAAAAATGCATTAGGTTCTGCTAATACTACCTTTTCATTAGAATAACACATTCTAGGGCTTTTTGTAGATAATTTGAAAGCATTGCAGTAGTTATAATTAATACAGCTGTCGATATTGATGTGATATGAAATAGGATATCTATTGGCATTCACAACTTCAAAAAAGTTATGAGCTAAATTATAAAGGTGATGATTAGGGAATGATATTAAATTTAGTATAAGCATTGTTCTTTATTTTCATTAGATCTTTTTTGTTGTTTTGCTTCAGCATCCTGTTGTTGCCATTTCTGATATTGTTCAACAGTCTCCAAACCTCTTTTTCTGCATTTTTGAGCAGCATCAACTTCTCTATATTCTTGGCTTAAAGTTTAACATGTAATTTAAGGCATAATTTTGTAATAAAACTACTTGAAAATACCAAAACTTAAATATTGCTTTAATGCATAATATTTTTGTAAATTTAATTGACGATTCTCCAGTCAACTGAAGAATGATCATAGTGAAAGGTGACACAGTTCTATATATAAATTACTATAGGTGCGAAAGTAGAAATTTTCTAGTGATTGTCCAAAGAAAACTTTTT